AATAAAAAGAATTTGATGGTTTTTTGAAGAAGGACCTTCACGGCGTTTATCCCCCATCTCCGGCACCGTCCCCCATTCCGACACACTTCAAGCGCACAGAACAATCAACAAGTAGATCAGAGGTAATGCGAGCTTATCGTTTTCATGTTCATTTCAAGTATATATCTCAAATATAGTCGCCCTCCTCTCGATTGACTGTAACACTACCTCGTAAGCAGGAACAGAAACCATTGAAATCGACGCCTGTCAAAATAAAAAAGGTGGAGAAGGTTACTTATTGATATAATTTTAGATTTTGAGATGTGGAGCTCACTTTTTGACTCTGTATGCTACATTTTAGGGCTCTGCGGCTGATGCTGAGACACCGAATACTTCTCCGATGCCAAAACTCGAAACACAGAATGCGGGTTCGTTCCTATGATATTTTTATTTTGTATATATTACCTTATGGCCCTTGCTTTACTAAAGTTCGCATTCAGTGTTTATTATTCCAAATCTTTTATTTGAGTTTGTTTATTTTTCACATCTGTTCATGCACAGTGCTACCGATATGCTCAAAAGATTTTCTTCCATTCATAATTCTCTACGAGATTGTGCTTACCCTCTTTCTTCGCAACAAAAACTCTTTCGGTTTGCTACAGAAACTTTAGATAAGACCATTTATAGAAATTTTTGTTTTATTTGTACTGAATTGGTTGAGGAATGTTTCAATTTACTTTTGCTTACTATCAATTTTCAGCAGAAAATACCCTGACAACTCCAGCTGCAGTAGCCTCAGCAAGGAATTCACCTGCTCCCAAGTATGTTAATTTGTGAGAGGCTTTTTTATACATGCTCAGGCTCTTTTATCTTCAGATCAGTACCTCAACGACCTGTCGCGGAGGCTGAAACTGCGTTAGCATTGCAGAGGTTGATTTGGAAATTTTCTGTTTATGGCAGTACCTTAAACGCAAATCGTTTAGTTTTCTGCTTGCGCACGTTAAAGAAGAAGTGAAGAAGGAAAAGAAACAACGTGAAAAGAAGGGAAAACAGAAAGAGAAACGAAAGGTTGGTTTCAGTTACGCAACACATCCCTTTGATATCATTTAATATCATTATTTCTACGGACCTGCTCATGTTTTTGTTCTTAGTTTTGCTATCTCTTATTGGGACCGAGCTTTTCCAAAAGTCTAGATCCGATTTTCTCCTAGCTATTACAGCAAGAAGAACTAGAGCAACTTCGCAAACAAGAGCAGGAGATTCAAGAGCAGCAACGTATCGCTGAGGCAGAACGACTGGAAAAGGAGCGGATAGAGCAGTTGCAGGCCGAGGAGAAAGCTCGTCTGCATCTGTTAGAGCTTACCCGCGATACCGCTACACCGCCAATGAGGGAAGTTCCTGAAGGTAATGCTCATTCTTTTTTTTATATGGTTCGAATGTTATACTGTTTTTTTCTCAGCATCACCGAAGTCGTTGAAGATCGTGATCAGTAATCCTCATAGCGATTCTGCCAGCTCTGCTTTCTCACCTCCACGTAAGATTTTTATGATTTGCTTACCACATTTCGTGTTAGTGCTGCAGCTTTTTATAGTTTCACTTTAGATTATGAAGATTTTCACT